TTTTAGCTCTTGTTTGATTCTCATTATTTTCAAAATATATTTTTATCTCTTATTTTCAATCACACACTTTTCAATAAAATAATATTACATGCAAACTCAGAATTTTTTCGTATTTTTCAACTACATATTTTTCATCAATCTACTATTTCAAAATACATTATTAAGAAAAAAATGTGGCTCAAGCATGCTCTTAATAAACTCAGCTCGATTCATTTGATTGAATTACACGTACTTAAAAGGATATAGGATTAGAGTCGCAGGGAGCCACTGGCGATCTTTCTTGAACGAAGAGGTAGTCAAGAACAAAGTGCTTAATGTGGAACGCCTATCAAGACCATTAGAAATCAATAATTAGAAGTCAATTTGATGGGATCACTACTTAATTTGATTAAATATATGTAGGATATAATCAGGTTTGGATGGCTTTTGATCAAAAGAAATGATAATCGGTCAAAAGTTTAGGGACTAAATTGTAAATACACAAATATTGATTCGGACAAACGAATGAAGATTATATAGAGTCAATTGGATGAAATTAGAAGATAAACAAATAAATTTGAACGAGAAAAGAACTCAATACGCACAAAGGATAAAAGTAGGGACCAAAATGAAGGAATCCAAAAGTTTGAGGCATGCAACCACATGGCATGTTTGGCTGAAGCAGTTTTTCAAATGCTCAACGATGTGATCGCAACCTTCATCAAGGTGCGATCGCATGGGCACATTTTCGCCAATTTTTATCTGATTCAACTATCTTATGAGAACTACTTTAAACGCCAATTTTAGCCTAATTTCAATATTTATAAGTGCAAAACATCGCTCAACATTATAAGATATCTCTCATATCATAGAATACTTCAGTTCTTTCATATCAAGAGAGGCCAATTATCATTATTTTGAGAGAAATCACAAAGCAGGAAATAAAAAATTTATCATTTGAAGATGAAATCTTGAATTTTCGACAATGAAGAGGAAGCTGTAGCTGGAGATTAACCTATGAAGATTGAAAAAAATCCAAGATTTTGTGGTTTCTCCTCTTTTTCTTCACATATCTCAAATCCGGGTGATGTTTTATAAACCAAAAATGAATTCTTGCAACTTTGTAATGCTGGCTAGATTTTCAGTTGCTAAGATATAGATGAACACTTGTTATAAATTATAATATCAATTTCAATACTTTGACGCTCAATATGTGCTTATCTTGGATGATTGTTATGTGCTTTAATGCTTTTCAATTATTTGATTACTAAATGGATTGTTGTGTGATTTTTGTTAATTTCGAGAGAAATAATAAGAGAAATAGCAAACGATAACAATTGATGTGGGTCTAATAGAAATATATTGTTGTGTTTTGCATGATTTCTTTAGGTGCTCCAGCATTTTAGTTCATGCTTTGATGTTCGCATTTAGAGACATAGGAAGGTCACATGAGAGGATACGTTTAATTCTACTCGAGACATTATTAAACGAATTAGGAACTTTGATAAGCAAGAACGAATACATATTATTACAGTATTGAATTGTATCAAAACAAATTAATAAGGAGAATTCAAAATCTTAGTACGTATTTAACCGGAGTTTATTAAAACTTTCTTAATTGCTCACTAGTTAGTAAAATAAATAATTTGTTATAAATACAAACTTGGCTATTCGATTAGAGTTATAATTAATTGGAACTGGACAAAGTACACAGTCTCTGTGAGACAATACTATATTCATCATTATATTTCTTATCTGTGATATCGTGCACTTGTAGGATTTTGTTGATCAAGACCCCTAACCTATCTACAAACTTTCTTCAACACTAATATGGAAATAATATATTTGTCTATGTTATACAACAACTCTTCATTGACAGTGACAAATTATAATGAAAAGATTTGTTCCCTCTCTCTCACTGAAAATCATACATGAGATTTTCATCTCACACGGCTCTTAAGTAATAAAAGAAAGAAGAACTCATCTTCTTTCTTTTTTGATTACCTTCCTCGCGTATGTATAAGACCGAATCCTTTCAATTTTTAAAAAAGATTACTAATCGTTAACTTTTCGAGGCATTTACAAAAAAAGAAAAAAAATGAGACATTTTGATAAATAATGTTACTTGTACACAAAGAAGTTACATAATGATTTACACACAAATGAGATGTGATAAAGAGAGTGAGAAAGTTTTTTCTTATTTGGTTTTAAAATTTTTGATCCAATCATATCTTACTACATCGCGTGCAAGTAAATCATTATATACATGTAGCACAATATTCTTTCAATAAAATTATTTTACATGTAAATCCAAAATCTCTTATACTTTTGAATCATGCACTCTACAAAAAAATCACTATTACAAAATCAATTCTCGTAAAAAATGGGCTCAAACAAACCTTGTGCAGTATTTGCTCCATTGGTGCAATTTTTCAAAAAAAAAAAAAAATCAAAAAGTGCCATGTTATTTAAATATTTTTATTATTAAATAATTATTTTTATATTCAAATTATAACATCTAAATTATATATTTTTAAATAGATTGAATAAAACTTGAACGAGAAAATATTTAGCCCCAGTTTGGTAAATGTCATTTAAAATTCATTTCAACTACACATTTTTCAATAAAATATTCTTTCACGTGGACATATTACTTTTCTTTATTTTTTACCGCACATTTTCCAAAAATTCACTTAACACAAAATGTATTCTAAAAAAAATATACATCAAACATGGAATACCTCATTATGCCATTTTCAATCATTTGATAACTACACTAATAAATAACTAGTTATGAGAATATTTTAATTGCATCCATATAATTTAATTAAAAAGGTGATTGATTTTTATAAGGACAACCACCCATCATAATTCACATCCAATATAAATTTATGTGATAATTAATTCTTACCTTAGATTTTTGAAGGCTTTGTACCGCCAATATAATGCACTTTAGCATAATTCGTTGATATGAATTAAATGAATAATTCTTACTAATAAAAAATAATCAATAACACAACATAAGATAAATGAAATAAGTAAACATGTTTTAAGGTTGTTCATTCTCAATGTAAAACGTACATCCACTTGCTCTAATATTCTCTATGCAGGAGAAATGATACTGTCATTTATTATCAGTCTAGGTAGCACGAAGGTCTACCATCTCATTACCCAATAAAATTGGACGGACTTATGAGAAAGTGTATCTAGCGACCATCTAAACACTGCAAATATTATTTACTTGAAGAAAGATATTAGGACGATTGTATACATGTACGGATATTGTTAATATGTAAAAAAATTCAGGAACTTTCTCAATCTGATGCATTTGTTGGCTCTCAAATTTTCTTTTTAACGTTACCTTTCTCTCTTTAAATTCTTTGTTACTTTCCAACTTGAAATTGCACACAGGTCCTTGAACTTTCCACTTAACTAATTTTTGTCCTTTCACTTTTAACATGTCCAAATTAGTCCTCAACTTTTATATTGTTGCTCTTTGGTCCTTTTTTCAACTTCTATCCAATTTCAATTTTGATATCAAAACTTTCAAAACTTTTTAAATTGGTCTCCAAAACTTCGTAATTATTTGAAATTGGTATGTATCAAGTTTTAAGAGTTTTCTATTTAGTCCTCAAAATTTCCAAAAGTTGGATTTGACTCCCTTAATTTACGATTTTCTTCTGATTGTAATCTTAATTCTTCTTATTGATCCCGTGAAATTCGATTAATTTTTAATTGCTCTGAACCAACTCTAAATTAGCACAAAATCGTCCCCTTTTGCAACAATTGTATTCAAGTCCAGATTTTACCTATAAATAAAAAAATACACTAAATAAGGTAAAAATCGACTCAAATGGCAACACTATATCACTTTTAAAAGAATAAATGTGTAAAAATACGCTTATCATACCATACTCTCATTTGATCTTATCGTAGAAGGTGAATCCAATTCGAATTAAAAAAAAGTACACGTATACATTCTTGAGAGGGAGGGTTTTGAATAGGGATAGAGGGTGGGGGTGGGGGCACGATTCAACATTGCCCAATAGTGAACCAAAACATGGATATTCTACTTCCTTTGCATGAATTCCGCTTGGAGCTCTATTGTTTATTGCATTTGACAAGTCTCCCCAACAAAGATGCAGAGTTGAGCCACCTCAATACCTTACGTTATGTCAACATCTTTGCACATTTTTGTCTTAACTCTAAAGTTAGTTCTCGTGACGTTAGGAGAATGAAAATATTATTTTACCCTCTCACTTTCTCAATTTACTAAGTTGCCCTTCATTTATTACAAAACTCTATGAATATACTTTGATGAACACATTATTAAAAGACATCCTAAATTTACTAGGCATGTTTTCCTTCCTCGAACGTATAATTAAGTTTAGTACATATAGATGTTTTAAGGAAATTCAAGAAGCGTTGGAATTGACGATATTACTAGAGATTCTTAAAGAAAATATATAATGCTATAAATAGTAAAGAATATTTGTCCATTTTAGGAGATATTCTAAGGCTTGACATTTATTGAAGATCGAATGCTTGTAAATGTTGTTGTCGTCGAAACAAATTTTGCAGAAGCCACGTTTCTCTTAAAGGAGATGGACATGACTATCGTACTTTTATTAGACAAATTCAATAATGAAATAATGCATACCGTAAGACGAGGAAATAATTAGGGCGAACTGAAAAAAAATATATATATAGTCATTTAGAGAATTCACATGAACACATGATTATTGTGCTTTTTTATAGATATATGAGAGAAATTGCTTTTGTTAGGAACTAATGTTTATTATTTACCCAAAATATTTTTTTTGAAAAAATCAATTACAAAGCGTTATATGAAGATAATTGAATGTGCAAATTAAGATTATACGAAGGGTAATAGTGTCATTACATAAAGATATTATTCACATAAATCTGCCCGCCCGCACAAACAGTGTATTTTGCTGCAGGCGGTTCTGTTCTTGTAAACAAATCTAACCCAGAATTTGCGAGAGAAATCGAGAATAGAAATGGCTTTGAAGCTGAGTCTGAATTCCATAAACTGTCAATCCCAAAAATACTCATCTTTTGCTCTTCCACAAATGGCCAGCCTCGGATCTCCCAAGTTCTTCATGGCTTCAACTCTGCGTTCTAACTCCAAGTAAGCTCTCATTTTTTTAATTAATTCAATTTATTTTTTAGTTTTTTTTATCTGTATTTTAGTTTAAATTGCGGGTTTTTAATCGTTTAAATTGGAAATTGCTTTTCTGAGATTAAAAAAATGATGGAGCATGTTTTGGTTTTTATCTGCATTGGTGCAGATAATTGCATCGACTTGCTTTGTTGTATGTGGATTTCCATTTTTTAATGAGGATGCGATATTTAATTAATTTTTCTTTTTAACTTCATTTTGGTATAATGTTTTACCAAAAATAAACACAGAGAGAGTGTTTGCATTGGATTTCGATTGCATAATTTGGTTGAAGCGTGCAATTTAAGTTTAAAAGTTTTTTATATTGATTTCAAGGAGAGAAAAAATTCTTCAAGCTTTTGTTTTTTTTTCCTTTTGGTTAAAAGAAAGTGTGCTGATGCTTATGCTTGCTTAGTTTCTCATTTGAGTAGTAATAATAAAATTATTGTGATAAAATATGGCGACAGTGCAATATAGATCAACTTATTTGTTTTAATTTGTTGGGATCTAGGTTTGACATTTTCTGGTTTTTTCTTTGGGTTTTAGCGATATGGTTGGATTGTCCAACTTTCCAAATCTTCCTGCAGTCAATTGACATTAAAATTTGATTCTTTCAAACGGTTGTCAGTTTGATTAGTCCTCGATTTCTACTTTTGTTTAACTTAGTAATGTTTATTTATTTTTAGTAGAAGTTCTTTTATACTTCTTATCATATTGTATTATCCAATTAAATGTTAATACTATTAACCTGCGCTATTTGGATTTCGGTGCTGCGTCTTTAAAAAAATATTAAACATCAAGCTCTAGATCATGGACAAACAGAGTAAGAACCCTGCTTCTGAGGGGCAAGGACTTACTCTTACTTTCAAGAATGGATTAATTATTAGAAAGTTCAAGAGACCATTAAAATTTAAAATCCTTGTTCTCTTGATTTGTTGCCTTATATGGAGGCTGTTTATATGTACAAGTTAAAAGCATGGACACTCTTACATCTTAATGACTCAAGATTAATCAGACAGTTATCACACACAAACACATTACTCTCCAAAAGGTTGTTGGAGGTATAGCGGTCTTCATATCTAAAATATTGATGTTGTGATGCAAACCCACGTAGCAATTGAGCTATGAAACTCACGACATATTAGATCAAAACCAAGAAAGTCAAGAATCAACATTTGAAAGCTCGACCCAATAAATTATTGAATCAAAGAACTAACACATATGCCAACAATATCTTGATCCCGTGATCACAAAAGTTATGAACCTTACTTAAATTGATGAACGCCACAAGAATTTAATTTTTGATAAGTTCAAAATTAATTGAATGAAGAATAAGAAGAAAGCAATAAGTCTTGCAATAATATCTCTCAAATTGTGTGTGTACAATGAAAATAATAATCCTATTTATATGGAATCCCTAAAACCCTAGTAAAAACGGAATTAAGCTCTAAAAATATCACAAAAATGGAGTTTTAACAAAAATAGAAGGTTGTGCGGAATTTGAAAAATTCGCAGTCGGAAATGTACTATGCAGCCACATAGTGTAATTTTATGTGATCGCATAAACCAACTGATGTCCTCCTCTATGGTTTCGGTAAAGGGGCATGCGCCCTGAATAACTATGCGGTCGTATAGTTGTTCCTTCCAGCCTCTCCTTCCATTACTTGAATCAAGTTGCTCCACTTCGTTTCATAGAAACGTGTCTCTTTGTTTGTCGTGATCAATGTTTCGTCCTCCGTGACTTGATCACTTCTTTGACTCGCTTTGCTCGCGACCTACTCATAGGCTCTTCCTCAACGATCAATGGATCATTGATTGGACTAGCTCTCGTATCATGGATCACGTCATGTTGTTCTCTCGAGGTTGTCAAATATACTCAATAAGACTCGATGCCTCTCAAAGTGAGAAGGTCTTTTATTATATAGAACAAAAATCACAACTAAATATGGTAGTTATCAATTACAATATTCATTAATGGTAACCAATTTAATATGATATCTTTACTTATATACGAGCTTTCCTTATATTCCATTGACATCCCCCTCAAATTGATGTCGGTAAAAGCTTCAATTTGCAATCATGAATCAGCAATGGTGACAATGCTCATGCATACCTAAATCACAACAACCATCTACGAAAAATACTGACGAGAGACCCAAGAATAAAGAGTGCAAAAAAGCCAAGAACACTCCAAAACCACTCCAAATAGCTCATATCCCAAGAAGAATTTCCAAAAGAAATTCACGAAGTGTGTCGACCACTCACAATGAGCCCTATCAGTCGAGAGAACTTAGTCGAGCACATAATTTGTGTTCCAACAAAAGCTCTAACGGCTAATGCACAAGCCAAAAATCTAACAATATATTGCTGACCAAGATGCCGCAGTTGGAAGAAACCCCACAAAATAGTCTACACCAAAATTCAAAGATGATCTTTCTTTGAGAATCCAAAACTCTAGCTCATCACCTGAGCAAACAAAATTGAATGGTTTGCAATCCCATATCTCTCTCCTCAACCAAAAAACGAAAATTTTTAAACTGAAATTCCCAAGAAGAGTAATTTTTTCCATTAAAATGAACAATTGAATGTTCTCATAACGTTGATAACCCAACAAAGATAATAATTACAACTAATAGCCCAACTAAATAATAGTCCAATTAAATAATAGGCCTCATACAAAGCCTGGAAGTTTAACTTAAAATGTAATTAAACTTGCTCTGATGTCATGTCAAATATACTCAATAAGACTCGATGCCTCTCGAAGTGAGAGGTTCTTTCATTATATAAAACCAAGATCACAACTAAATATGATAGTTATCAATTACAATATTCAATAATTGTAACATATTTAATATGGTATCTTTACTTATATTCGACTTCTCTTATATTCCACCGACAGATGTCCCATATGTGAAATCTAATGACTAGTTCCTATGGAGATTCCCATTGCTCTCCGATCGTGTGAAAAAGTTGCTTTATACGTAAGATACACTTTTTAGATTCACATTTGATTGGTATAAATTTCTCTCGTGTTGAGTAAACTTATCATATAACTGCACAAGATATTGCATTTCCAACATGAAAGGATACAACAATAAACATTGAATAAGAATTTATATAAGAGATATGTGCAATAAGTGATTCTTTAGTTTATGTGAAGTAAGCTTGTAACACAAGCATCGTTGATAAAGAATAAATTTATTTCTACCTATATCCCTCTACAATGATAGACTTGAAATCTACATATCGTAGATATAGGCATCTTTCATGACTTCGTATAAACTAGCATACTACATAACCATAAACCTAATCTCTATATTGCACTCTCTCCTCTGTCTTCTTTCCGGAGCAATACTTCTTATATTTTATTTATATATTGACCAGACGTTTTATTTTAAAATTCCAATTAAATACTACCAATTTAAGAAGTGTATGGCTTGAGTCTCAATTACTTCAATGTAACATATTGATTACAAAAACTTTTGGAAAGGTTAACCAGAGCATTAATTTTGAAACTGAGAGATTATTACACCATCAAGTTCATGAAATATGTAGTTACTATCCTTTCATTTTTTAATTTTTAATTTTTGAATTTTGTCATGTGGTAATCCAAGGAGGCAAATAACAAGTTGATTCTAGAGGTCAATACTTAGATCTGTCCGTGCTTGTAATAAGTCAACCTTAATATTTATCTTCTCTCTTTTTGGAAATAATCTAATCCTATTTCCTTTGTGTTTGTCTACTGCTGCAGGGAGGTTGAGACCCTCAAGAAGCCTTTTAGTCCTCCCCGTGAGGTTCATGTTCAAGTAACACACTCTATGCCACCTCAAAAGCTCGAGATCTTCAAAAGCCTGGAGAACTGGGCTGAGCAAGATTTACTGGCTCACCTGAAGCCAGTCGAGAAATGCTGGCAGCCACAGGATTTCCTGCCAGATCCTGCTTCTGATGGATTTCATGATCAAGTCAAAGAATTGAGGGAGAGAGCCAAGGAGATACCGGATGATTATTTCATTGTTCTAGTTGGAGATATGGTCACTGAAGAAGCTCTTCCAACGTATCAAACAATGCTTAATACTTTGGATGGTGTGCGAGATGAAACAGGGGCTAGCCTTACTCCCTGGGCAGTTTGGACAAGGGCTTGGACTGCTGAAGAAAACAGGCACGGGGACCTGTTAAATAAATATCTGTACCTATCTGGACGAGTAGACATGAAACAAATTGAGAAGACAATTCAGTTTCTGATAGGGTCAGGAATGGTGAGATTCTTGCCACATTATTTTCTGGAAGTCTTTTGAGTACTGCAATTGCTATCGCTAATATTTTCCTAAATCTTATTCTCTTTCTATCTATAGTTAGAATTTCAAGGAACTGCATCCCTTCTCGTGTGTTTTGGGTGTAGACTCTTCGTTTCTATCTCTTATACTGCTGAAATATTTCCAGGATCCTCGAACAGAAAATAATCCCTACCTTGGATTTATCTATACGTCATTTCAAGAAAGGGCTACATTCATCTCCCATGGAAACACGGCCAGACTTGCTAAGGAGCACGGGGATGTAAATCTTGCTCAAATATGTGGTACAATTGCCTCGGATGAGAAGCGTCATGAAACGGCATATACCAAGATAGTTGAGAAGCTATTTGAGATTGACCCTGATGGAACCGTGCTTGCTTTTTCCGACATGATGAGGAAGAAAATCTCCATGCCAGCACACCTGATGTATGATGGCAGTGATGATAACCTTTTTGAACACTTTTCGGCTGTTGCTCAGCGGCTTGGCGTCTATACAGCTAGAGACTATGCAGACATTCTAGAATTTTTGGTTGGTCGATGGAAAGTGGCAGACCTAATTGGACTATCAGCAGAAGGGTTAAAAGCACAAGATTATGTATGCGGGTTGCCTCCAAGAATAAGACGACTAGAGGAGAGAGCTCAAGGAAGGGCCAAGCAAGCACCCATCATCCCATTTAGCTGGATATTTGATAGGGAAGTGATGCTCTAAGTGCGTGGATTTTGTTGGGAGTGACAAATGGCTATAGATATGGTTATTTCTGCTTTAGTTTTCGATGTTGTCTCCTAGAACGCGTGGTCTTTGTTATGTTTTACATATATAGTGTTTATGTTTGTAAGCATGCTTAAAATAAAATGCAATTTTGATGATCGTGTTTTGTGTTTAGCTGCACAATAACACCTTTCTTCCCAAGAATGATGAAGAAATTATGTAGGTGGATCAAACAATTGCTTGTAAAAGTAGGGCATTGCCTTTGAGGCTAGGCCTTTATGCAGTTATTTGGAAATATAAGATTATCATGTCATGTGTTACTTGAAATAGTCCAAGTTCCCAATCAAATTACATGAAGAAAAAAAATGCAAATCAAACTGATGTGAACAGGAGAAACATACAAGGACTGGGCAACCTAGGACAACATTCACGAAGAAACAGAAGCTATAATTTTTATGTTGTAATGTTGTTTAGTATCGTGCACCAATCATGTAACAACAATACGTCCCCAACCATGGCCACTGCATTTGGTCATCGAGTCCAGACAGGCTCCATGCAGGGTTCAATTCCTAGTGTATGCATTCCCATTGGGGTTGGGTTCCATGGTAATGCTTTCATGCTCATCGACCTCCTCCCTTAAGAAGAACTCGAGTTAAATGCTAAATTCGGTCTATGTTGTAAGCATGTGTAGGTTGGGTTCCAATATGGATTATTTATTTATTTTTCAATGATTTGAAATCAAGAACTCCTTCATGAAGCACTTGAGATGAATATAACCCAATGGTCAATTGGTATCAACATCCCACCTAAGTGTCTTTTAAGAGAGGTTTTGAGTTTGAATTGCTAGCACAAAAAAATAAATAAATAAAAATTGAGGTCCAACTCTCAGAGAACACAGACCGAGTTCATTTTGGACTGTGTCTAGACTCAATAACCAAATCTGGTGGCTATGATCAAGCTGACGTATGTTTAAAAACATGCCCTTTATGTTTTGTAAGGGTTGCACCTGTTTCTCCATTGTGTGGAACCCCGAATTTGGTATAGAGTGTAAGATAGGACATAAAGTTCTGATGTATGCTCCTTTTAAGTTATGAACTTAGTCCAAAACGTAATCCAGACGAAGTTCTACTATGGATAGTGGAATCACAAAACGTAGTCCAGACATTTAGTTTACCTTAAAATGAGAATGACACATGCATTATCATTCAATTGCACATGCACTTAAGGCCTCACCTTCAAGGGCAATGAAAGGATCAACAAACTAAGGGAATTGAACTTGTACAACAAAAACTACGGCATATTCCCTATGAATTTGAGGTCGTTGACATGAACATTTTTTGTCAGTTCGTTCAGTTACATTGCTACATCTACTTGAAGATCCAAAGCAACTAGATTTTCATGTCATAAGATGTGACAAAGTATTATGTTAGTTGTCAACTTACACAAACCACATCCTTTACCCTGAACTGAACTTATAAATTCATAAAAGTACTCTAAATATGACTTCGAATTATACAATTGCAATAATTACAAAGATGCCCCCACTGACATATAAGGAATTCTTCCTCAATAATATCACACAAAACCAGCTCCATGAGATCAAAAGTTCAAATCCTAATAAATAGAACTGCCAAGCGAGATGACCTTGTCCAATTTAAAGATGTCATTAAGGACTGATAAGTGTATTTTATGCACTTATTTGGGGTCCTAAAATAGCGATATTTAATAGTTCTTTTGACAAAATATATTCTAAATTGTTGTATTTTATGTTATATAGGTAAAACTCAATAATTGAACAAGGAATTGAAAGAAAGAAGCGAAAAATGGTGAAAAATGGCAAAATTCAAAGTTTGAGGATCGAATTGCAAATTCAATAGTTGATTTGGACCACAAGATGATACTTTGAATATTGCTAGGAGACAATTGAATTGAATTAGAATTCAAAAAGGAATGGAATAGGATTAAAATCAATTTCTAATCGCACAAGTTATATTCCAGATTTTTAGTCGAGGATTGAGACCCATTTTTGACATAGTAAACGTCCGAATTGAGAAAACTCTATTTCTAGAAAGGTTGTAGCCTTTTAAGCTATATTTCTAATACACTTTGAATCGTCTCAATCGGATATCGAGAGAGAAAGTTATAACTAAAATACTGACTACTGTGCAGAGACAAAAAATTCGCGCGCGAATGGAACTTTCCTTATTCGATGGGAACTCTTTTGGAAACCAATTTAGACGTGATTTTCAATCAATTTTCGACAACTACAACTACAACTACATAACAGCAGAATACATATTAAGACTTTTCATGTACATATTATTCTCCATTATTCATCAATTATTATCATTAAAGGAGGAGAATTCATAATTTTTGTGAGAGGATTGAAGATGATTTGCAAGAATTCAATCAAGTAAAGATTTAAACATAATTTTTGGGGAAAGAAGAGAAGGCGCAAGTGGAGATTCATCAATAATCAATTGAAGAGATTCAAGATTTCAAGATTCATCTTCATTTTCTTAATTTATCAAAAATTCGGGTTATGTCTTTTCACTTATATATGATTTCTTGTAATTTCAATATGTTAGACTAATTCTATACATTGTTAGGATGATATGAACCCTTGTTATTATATTTTTAGTTTTTAATTAATTATTTTGACTTTAATTTGATTTGATTTGTGGATATTTATTATCGTTTTTATCGTTCTGTTCAATTGCTTGATCGTCAATTGAATTGTTAGTGGATTTTATTGTTATCGAGAGAGATAATATGATTTAAACACATTATAATAAACATTGTAAAGTTTGATAGATGATATAGATATATATCTATGCTTTATATAGTTTCAATACGTGTTCTAGTACTTGTTAATGCATTTATCATGTTTGCATCTTTTATCGAGAGATAGATATGTCACATGAAGGGAATAGATTTGATCGCTATCGAGAGATGCTTTCGATTAAATTAGGAACATTGACCAACATGAATGATTTCAAATTGTCACTTTAATTGTTACACTAAAAATTGAATAATAAGGGGGATTCGACATCTTAGCAATGCATTTCACATAGTTGTAAAACACATTTACAAATTCAAAAAGGAATGAAATATGATTAAAATCAATTTCCAATCGCACAAGTTATATTCCAGATTTTTAGTCGAGGATTGAGACCCATTTTTGGCATAATAAACGTCCGAATTGGAAAAACTCTATTTCTAGAAAGGTTGTAGCCCTTTAAGCTATATTTCTAATGCACTTTGAATCGTCTCAATCGGATATCGAGAGAGAAAGTTATGACTAAAATACTGACTACTGTGCAGAGACAAAATTCGCGCGCGAATGGAACTTTTCTTATTCGATTGGAACTCTTTTGGAAACCAATTTGAACGTAATTTTCAATCAATTTTCGACTACTACAAGCAGAATACATATTAAGACTTTTCATGTACATATTATTCTCCATTATTCATCAATTATTATCATTAAAGGAGGAGAATTCATAATTTTTGTGAGAGGATTGAAGATAATTTGCAAGAATTCAATCAAGTAAAGATTTAAACATAATTTTTGGGGAAAGAAGAGAAGGCGCAAGTGGAGATTCATCAATAAACAATTGAAGAGATTCAAGATTTCAAGATTCATCTTCATCTTCTTAATTTATCAAAAATTCGAGTTATGTCTTTTCATTTATATATGATTTCTTGTAATTTCAATATGTCAGACTAATTCTATACATTGTTAGGATGATATGAACCCTTGTTATTATATTTTTAGTTTTTAATTAATTATTTTGACTTTAATTTGATTTGATTTGTGGATATTTATTATCGTTTTTATCGTTCTTTTCAATTGCTTGATCGCCAATTGAATTGTTAGTCGATTTTATTGTTATCGAGAGAGATAATATGATTTAAACACATTATAATAAACATTGTAAAGTTTGATATATGATATAGATATATATCTATGCTTTATATAGTTTCAATAGGTGTTCTAGTATTTGTTAATGTATTTATCATGTTTGCATCTTTTATCGAGAGATAGATATGTCACATAAAGGGAATAGATTTGATCGCTATCGAGAGATGCTTTCGATTAAATTAGGAACATTGACCAACATGAATGATTTCAAGTTGTCGCTTTAATTGTTACACTAAAAATTGAATAATAAGGGGGATTCGACATCTTAGCAATGCATCTCACATAGTTGTAAAACACATTTACTTACTTTAATTAGTTTAAATAAGGGGGATTCGACATCTTAGCAATGCATCTCACATAGTTGTAAAACACATTTACTTACTTAAATTAGTTTAATTGATAATTTAGGGATTAATATATAAAACTCAAAATCTATTTGCTATTCGATTAATGTTATTATTAATTTGAACTCGATCGAATACTTAGTCCTCGTGGGTTCGACACTCAACACACTACTATATTACTTGTTTACGATCCCGTGCACTTGCGAAAAATCAAACGATCAAGGACAAACTAAGAAACGCGTGCACTCGTCCAAGGACCAAATTCTTGAATGGTAATGCGACAAAACATCATCTTCTACGCTTCCCATAAATGTTAAGGGACCTAAGTTTTTGCCAAATGTTTTTACAGCCAAGAATTATAAGCTCAGTCTATGTCAGTATTCCAATACATGCTATGGATTAAACAATTAATCCGTACCGCCGGAAGCAATTAATAGCATGAAACAAAAAACGAAAGCAAGTAAAAAAAAGATATATAGTTCACTCTCAATGTGAGAGCCACGTCCCCTTGCCGCTGCAGGATTTCACTATAACAAGAAGAAGACAACAATATGTTCTCTACGGCTGTGAACTTTATTGCAAAGGTTGAACCGCTGAACCACGGTCAAGAGGACAAATGTACAGTACAATTAGTATCCTTTCATCCAACATATTCGACAACACAAATTTGATTATAAAACTGCTGCGAGGGAATTGGGAAATAAGGTAGAAATAAAACCATCAAGCTAGAATGATCAATGATCAACTCAGTAACTAATGCAGTGGGAGATATCATTTGACAAAAACATTACCTACAAGAACTACAGACCCAACTACTGTAGCAAACATGAGAAACGTGTGCTGTTAATAGTAATGGTTGCTAACATTGTGAATGGCAATAATTGATGTGTGACATGTGTCCAAATGATAGTGAAAGTTAATTACACAAAATTGATAACTTCATCTGCCCTCTGACATGATTAATGTACTATGAAAATTTCATAACCGGTTGTCACCACTGGAGTCCAGACCTGTTCTACACTTGCAGTGCTAAATGACATTTTCACTATGATTATTTACCGACGAGAAAAAGATTAATGTGAGAGCAATAGAGGTGCTGTCCATCCAGTGGCATTAACTGAGTAAAACTCAAACTAAACATTATAACTGCTAATTACATAGATGATAGCCCAAGAATAACTAATCAAGATGGGTTGAATTGGTTTTCAAAACTTTTTTGAAAAATTGATTCAAATGTAAGTAAGTTGAGAATGAATAAGTCAATAAAAAAAAATGTACAAGTACTAAAGTAATAAGTAAAAGGGAAGAGGCACGCAAACGATATAATTGTGAAGATTCGATCTCGATCAATGATTTACGTACTTCATTACCAAATTCTCCGTCACGAGCAAGACCTTTTCACTAAATTTGATTGACTTATGGTACAATCTAAACCCTTACAATGCTTTCGATTACTTACAAATAAGTATGATCGATCATTATACAACTGGGACCTCAATATGACCCACAAATTTAAAGATAAATTATTTTAAAATTTGAAACTTCTCTCTCAATAAATGATATAATCGAATTAAGTACAAAAAAAGAAATAAGATAACACTTTAATGAATAGCAATGAATGAAACTCAAGTATTAGATGAGAAAAACTTTGATGAGAAATATGTTTTTAAAAAATTGATTCAATCAAAAGTTTTTCAAAATAATGATTTGATAAAGATAAATAAGATGTAAGATCCATATAATTTAGCTCAAGAATATCTCACTTAAATGCTCTCAAAAAGTGTTGTAATGAATGCAAAGTGAAATGATATTTATAGAGGTCAAAACGCCAAAAATTCTGACTAACCGGACAACCAATCCAGACGTCCACATTTTGAATCGGACAACAAAGCTAGCCGTTGTGCGTCAGAATTGAAAACGATTAAAAAAGTGACCATTGGACAAACAGAACGTCCACTAGGCCTAACCAGATGTCCACTTGGACGAATTTTCCCCAAATTTTTCTTCTTTGATTGTTTTGAAAAATTTAGTCTTTTGAATGACGTTTTTCATTTTATTTTTCAAGGTAAGTGATATTGTAATGAGTTTGAATATCAAATTGAAATACTTACAACTTGAAAGATAATTTTTATACAAGTATATTTATGAAATAATTTTCTCGTGCATAAAAATTTATTCATTGAGCTTTCAATGATTCAATGCTAAAGTTTAAAGCGTTGTACCTTTACACATAAATGCAGAACATCTTAATCTAATATCTTCTATGTTTGACTATTGAAGTTTTTTGTCTCGAGTGATTTGTCGTGAATGCTTAGCTTCCATCTTGATTTTTATTGATCGTCCGATGCGAGTCTTTTGGTAGTGATCTTTTTGTCCACAATCGATCAACTTTACAACAATAGCTATGAAAATTCGAATTCAATTGTTAGAAATAAAATCAATTTGTATATTATGATCAAAACACGAAGTCAACCATATGTCAACAATTTCCCACTTTTTGATTATGACAAACAAGATGATTTACATTAAGTCATAATATCAAATTGATAGGGGATAAAAAGTTAAATATCAATTCTCCATATATCTTACACATATATATGCATATCATCTCATATGCTTTCCCCCATTTGGCATAAGTAAAAACTATAAAGTAAGAATCTAAAACAAGTCGTGGAAGATCAAAAAGACAATCATAGGCACAAATAATAGCAAGTAAATCCCCCATTAAAAGTAAAACAAGATATCAATCAATGAGAGGTTAAGATAGAGCAAATTGCATCCATAACACAAGAGGTTACGAGAATTTATAGCATGAAATAGTTGGACGAAGTATATGTGTATCCAAAACACAGAAACATAAAGATTATCTAAAATACATAAACGTAAAACGTAAACCATAGCTACGCTCCAGATGAGGGAAGTGAGCGTAAAAAACAATCTGATGAGCTTGCATTGTCGCATGTTGAGCTTGAATTGCATCTTGTTGGGCTTGTATGGAAGCTTTTTGAACTTGCAATTGGTGAAGCATCCCTTCAGAGCAGACAACAGAGGAAGTAAGGGAAGCAATGCGTCCGTCGAGGAGATTGTAGTGATCCTCGGTAAATGTGAAATCATCAGCAGGAGGAAGAAAACTAGAACTCGGGATGTCATGAGGAGGGTTTGGAACTTGTGGCACATCATCTTCATTGTCATCCTCATTGCCATTGAAAGGTAGAGTGGAAGGACTTGAGATGGGATTGAATCCTTTGGTGTGAGCCACCTATTGACCATGCTCTTTTACGACTTTCATGCATTTAAGAGTTTGGATATTGATGGTATCGGTAAGACAGAGTTTAACAGATGTCTCATCATGTAAAAGAATTTTAAAATGCTTAAATTTTTTTTGTAAGAAGCATTCCATACGGTAAAGCTATGACTTGACGAGTGGAATGGACAACCTTCATGAGACCGAATGCAATGGTTGTAAAATCTAATTTCCACTCGACAACAAAGAAATCGAGAATGAAAAGATCAAAATTGTTTACTTCATCTCGATGATCCTCTGGAGGAAAAATGACATGTGCAATAATGTTTTATGAAACTTTACATGGAAGAATGAGTTGATTTGCACTAAGTTTGATAATGTTTTCAATATTTTTCCCGATGACTCTACGACGTGCCTTGGTAGGATTATATCATTCTAAATTGGGATGAGTTTTATGAAGAAATAAAGATAATCGAATTTCATAAAAGATTTATCTTGTCCTCATTGGACACCAATTGATTTTCAGTTGAGGTGGTTAAAAATGACATAAGTCTTTCTTCAAAACTTCAACTTGTCATTAGTTTAGGTTTTATTATAATTTACTTATAATTTTTAATAACCATATATTTACAATTATTTTTTCACTTATTATCTACACATTTTTACTACTTTTTTCAATATAAGAAAAGTATAATGAAATACAGCTCATGTCTTTAAGTTTTAAGCAGATGAACGCATCGCTTTTGAGGATGATTAAAAAGCTCTAATTATTGTGGGGGCAGAAACTCATCTCATGAAATCATGTTAAACAACCCACTTTTGTTTTGTGGAAATTACATGGAACCCTACATTTGAAAATTCAATTTCCAAAATCAGATTTGGTCTTTTAAGTTTCAAAAATCAGATATTTTAATGTATAGATACAGATTTTTTATATTTAATTAAATATTAATAAAAATATTTTGAAAATTAAATTATA